TATTGCAGGGGTTTTCCGGTTGAATGATTTTTGGCCGAGTTATGGCCCTTTTGATAAAAAGGTGTTTTTTCTGTGTGTTGCCAGATACGCAAAAGCTTGTCCGGACTACTCCTCATAAACTACTGGTGCAATTTTATCCAAACTTTACAGGAATGATCAGTACCAAGTCTAGTTGTGCACTGTCTCTCTGTCTGTCTGTCTGTCACAAACTTTGTCCCCCAACATGAAATTGGCCATCATGAGGCGACACATGTGATTACTGATCGCTCTTGTGATTTATATTATGTTTTTGAAAATATCAGGGTTACCATGCATTCTGTATACTCTAATGCTATACGCCTAATAAAATGTAACATTATGAACAAAATTTAAGCACTTTTTTTCTTTATGCAAGGGATCTAAGACATTACTTAAAAATTATCACACAAAAAAAAAGAAACAAAAGTGACTTCCTTTGGGGTTTGAACCCCACACCCCTCAGGTTTCAATTTGCAGTTTGACAGTAATTCTAGCCTATTCTAAATTTACTCTTCAAAAAGAGGAGGTTAGTGCATAAGAGGGGTCATACTTTAAAAATATTTTTCTCTCTGAAAGTTTAACAATTCCCCTATAGCTTAGAAGTTTTGCATGTAGCAAATCCACTTTGTAGTCTTCTACAAAAAGAAAATTGTGTTCATTTTATGACCATGGGTTGAAAGCATGGAGCCCCCAAGGCCTTGGGTACATTTATGTTTTACAAATGCTATATAGGAAAAAATTTTAAGTTTTCTTTTAGGGGAAACTGCAATGACCAGAGCTTAAAAATTAAGCATTTTGCAAATTGGGCCCAAATTGACATCTACCCAAAATTTTTATTTAAAACATTGGTTCCCTTTTGGGGGTTTAAAATTGGGTTTCCAACCCCTTTTAGGGGGGCAAATTTAATTTGGTTAAAAATTTTTTTTGTTAAAAAATATCTTTTAAAAAAAATATTTTTTGAAAGAACTTCTTCCTTTAAAAACCCACAAAAAGGGCCCCCTTTAAGGTATATTTTTTTTTTCAATAAAAAAAATAAAAATTAAAACCCAATTTTATAACTACAAAGGGGAAAAAAACAAAATTTTAAAATTAAAACCCCATTTCACTAAATTTCAGCATGAAAGTAAAAAATTTTTCACATAAATATATGAAAAGGCCCTTTCTTGGGGAAAAAAAATAAGGAACCCTTTTCCAAAAATAGAATTTAAAAGCCCCTTTGAAAGGCCTTTGGAAGAAAGTTTGGCATTTATCCAAAGGCCCCCTTAGAACCCGGAAAAATTATGGTTTTTTTATTTTAAATTGGGTCCATACCAACATTCCAAAAGGGTTTTAATTCCCAAAGCCCAGAACATATTTAAAAATAGCATTTTAAATTTCGAATTTACATGGAAAAAAATTTAAACTTAAAAAAACCCAAACTTTGGTTTTAAAAAAGTTTTCCCCTAAACCCGCCCCGACAAGTCCTTTTGCCCTTTTCAAGTACAATCTTATGGGAAAGGAAAAGATTTAATGAATCAAATGGTTTTTTTATTTAGGCAAAATTTCCCAAAGGGGTATTTTGTAAAATACCCCATGGTTTCTAAAAAGATTGAAAAAATTTCGTTTATGGGGAGGCTTTTATTTTGACCCTGTTTCATGACCGGCCCATGGAAGAACCCTTCCAAGACAAAAAACAAAAGAAATGGAAAAAAGGGAAATTATTCTCCAATATTGCTGAGTTGGACACCCCCTTTCCCACAAATAAACTGAATATCATTGTAAGTAGGGTTAAATTTTCCCTTTATATAAAAAATTTGGGGTTTGGGATTTAATCAGTTCAAACAGTCAAATAAACCAGACCTAATTTTGGGGCCCCAAGACAACAGTAAACGTCAAAACAGTCACTAAGTCATTTTGTTTTGTGCCCAGGTTCGCATCCGCATGACCGGTCATTAATCAATGATAGCCTATTTATGTCGATTCTTGAACTCTCCTTGACCAGCTGACTTTACTAGTTTCCCATGATCAACATGAGCTTTGACTCAGAGCAAAATGCCTTCGAATTCACCTCATGCATATCAATAATTCCTGTCACTAAGTCGGCTTTACGTATAGCGACCTCTTAAGCGCTCAGTAAGTAGGATAAAATGGCTATACAATCATAACGTCTAACATATCCTGAACATCACAATACAGACTTCTTTTGGCCTTTGCCATAGTCCAGTAGATTTTATAGGAAGGTGGTTGTGAATAGTAGATAACCCCTATTGATCCTGAGGCCAGATTGTCAGAGGTCAAGATCATAACAGGCGGCCCTTTTCACAATTAATCTTATGGCAAATTTTCATCATAAGAGAAATCGTGTATCTTTTATCTTAGATAAAAACTAACTTAAAGGAAAATAAGGCCATAAATACTTGCAATCATCATTTTAAAAAATAAAGTGAAATAAATTGTGCCATCATGATTTGTTGAAATCATGAATGACAGACAGCAAAACTTAAAACTACTAAAAAACATGGCCCTGCCATGTAAATACATTTAAGTCTTTAAGAAGAGCTTAGATATTTGACATGTAGCATTTCCAAGTTGACCTCTACAAAATGATTTAAATCTAGCCCCAGGGGTCAAAATTTGTTAGGCTCATGGGTTCTCTTAAGTTATATAGACTTGTATAGTAAAAGTACATGTATAAAAGACTTATCCTGAAAGCTACAATGCCTTAAGCTTTGATATGCCCCTGGGGTAGAAAATTGGCCCATCCAGTTGATAAGCATATAGGAAATTACAGTTTTAAGTATTCTTTTGTGAAAATGCATTGCCAAGACTTAATTGACACAAATTTATTGTAGATAGGCATGATTATGCCCCCTAATTAAGCCAAGAAAACATTTAAGTTAAGCCAAAAAAAACAACATAAAAAAAAACATTTTTATGCCCCCATTTCGAAGAAAAGGGGGTATATTGCTTTGCACTTGTCGGTCCGTCGGTCCGTAGACCAAATGGTTTCCGAGTGATAACTATAGAACCCTTAGGCCTAGGAACTTCAAACTTGGTATGGTGATTGGTCATGACCAGTAGATGACCCCTATTGATTTTGGGGTCAAGGGGTCAAAGGTCAAGGTCACATTGACCTTGTAAGCAAAAACGGTTTCCGATCAATAACTTAAAGAACCTTAAGGCCTAGGAACTTCAAACTTGGTAGGTGATCGGTCATGACCAGTAGATGACCCCTATTTGATTTTTTGCGGGTCAAGGGCTCCAAAGGTCAAGGTTCACATTGACCTTGTTAAGCAGAAAAACGGTTTCCGATCAATAACTAAAGAACATTAAGCCTACGAACTTCAAACTTGGTATGGTGATTGCGTCATAATCAGTAGATGATTCACCTATTGATTTTTGCGGGTCAAGGAGGTTCCACAAGGTTCAAGGTCACATGATCTTGTGATAGCCAAAAACGTATTTCCTATCAATAACTAAAGAACCATTAAGGCCTAGAACTTTCAAGACTTGGTATGGTGATTGGTCATGATCAAGTATAGATGACCCCTATTGTCCATTTGGGGTCAATGGGTCAAAGGTCAAGGTCACTCATTGACGTCTGCTAGAGCCAATAACGGTATCTCAAACTCTAATATAACTTAAATTAGAACTCTCTCACACTCTCTCCTAGAGAACTTCAAACTTGGTATGGTGATTGGTCATGATCGAGTAAGATGACCCTATTGATTGATTGGGGTCAAGGGGTCAAATGGTCAAGGCTCACATTGACCCCTTTTGGGTAAAAACGCGTTATCTGATCAATAACAAAAAAACCCCCTATAGGCCTCAGGAACTGTCACAACTTGGCTATGCTGCTGATTGGAATCAGACATTGACCAGCAGATCTGACCCGAATATATATATATTTTTGGGGTCAAGGGTGTCCAAAGGTACAAAGGTACCACTCATTTGACTTAGATAGGTATATCAAAATGCATTCCGATCAATAACGACAAGAACTGCGCTGTAGTGCCTAAGCGACTTCAAAGTTGTATGGTTATCTGTGTTCATGACCAAGCAGATGACCCCTATGATTTGGCGTTCAAGCGGGTCAAAGTGTCAAGGTCCATTGACTTTGTATGGTAAAAACGGTTTTCTATCAATAAAACGAAAAGACACATATAGTCCTAGGACTTCAAGACTTCGATTTCGTTGGATTGGTCTGCACTGCAGTAGATTACCCCTATCTGACTTTTGGGGTCTAAGGTCAAGGCGTCAAGGTCACTATTGACCTCTTAAGGTAAATAATATATATATATGTCTACATACACTACAGAACCCTGAGCACTAAGGAAACTTCAAATCTTGGGTATGGTGAGTTCGGTCACTGACCAGTAGATTGACCTCATTGATAGTGGTTAATGGGTCACAAGCAAAGGTCACACTTGTACCCATTGTAGCGTAAAAATGCGGTTTCAAATCAATAACTTAAGAAACCCTTTGGCGCCTAGGAACGTGTCCATTCCAAACCTATTGGATACTTGGTGATTTGGTCATCGACCAGACAAGATCGACCTTAGATTGATTTTGGCGGGTCAAGGGTCAAAGGTCAATTCGAGTACACATTGACCTTGCTATGGTTAAATCACGGTTCGCGAGTGCAATTTAACATAAAAAACGCTTAGGCCTTAGCGACACTTCAAACTTTGTATGATGAACTCTGCGTTGTGCACAGCAGATGGACCCCTATTGGAGTTTTTGGGTCAAAGGTTAAGGTCATGAAAACCCAGTAAGATACTTGATTAAACCCTTATTAATTGTTTGATCACTGGGTCAGAAGTCATGCATAATAACCTTATCACATGACTAATTGGCTGCTGATAGGGGGCATACATGTTTTACAAACATATCTTGTTTATACTTGTGTTGGGTTTAACTCAAAATGCCTAAAAAGGACAATGGATAACGGGCACCAGTAATATACAGGATTTTTGGTGGCAAAACATTTCTAGTAATCCACTATGTTTTCTACCTATAATTATGTTACAGATAATGACCAGAAAAATGTCAAAATATTGAAGAAAGAGTGTGTACACATTTTGGAAGAAGCAGTGGCAGTTATTGACGACAGGGTTTGTAAGTTGAATGATGGCTCAATCACCATTTTGGACTTGGAATTGTTGGCGTCAAGAGAGCAGACATTCTCAGAGTTGGCAGAAGTTGTTTGCCCAGAAATAGAGTTTGCATCTGTAAGTAAAGGGATAAAGTTGAGACAGAGAGAAGTAAAAGCTTTCAAGATTCAAGCTGAAGAAATGTCAACATTAGCAAGTCTCTGTCAACAGTTTACAAATGGTAAAAAAAATCTACTATTTGTTGTGTTTTTTTACAACTTCTGAGAAATATTTTGTCACAAGATTGTCATCCAAAGAAAAATAAGTAATTATGATGAGTAATTTAATGCATAATGTTTTATTTATACTAATATATTTAACTAACAATAATTGTTTCTGTTCTTTTCACAAGACGTAAGCAAAGCATGTAAAACTACATGTAAGGTACTTTGCAAAAGGTAAAAGTTTAAGCATTTCAGGATATTTTAACTAACAATTTTTCTCTCTGAGCTATCATTAGTGTTATCATAAGGTGACAAACAACATATTATGCTTTAAAATATATATTGTTGTAGTAGTAACTATCTAAATTTGTTGTTTTGGAAACAAAATTTGGCAAAATATCACATTTTTATTGTTTTGGGTTTTTTTTGTACATAATTTATGAATATCTTTTCCCCTGCTCATTTGTTTTAATGAACTCTTTCTCTTTTTTGTAAAGTGGACATAAGATGTGTTGCTGACATATTGCAAAAGCAGAAGGATATAACTAGACATTCTGTGTGGGAATTCTGTGTACCAGCTGATGAAAAAAGCATTGAGGAAATTGAACAACATGTACCTAAATTATGTGCATTTGATTTGCCACAGACTGTGTTAGATATGGTGCCACTGCTTCATGTTTACAGCAAAAGTAGAACATTTATAAATTTATGGCAAGACAAGTGTGTTGAAGTTGTAGATGGATGTGTTTCTTTGGAACATGTTGTACAAAAAGTTTGGACTCCTGTTAAAGAGAGGTATACTTTACATTCTGTTATTTGAATTTATTAGCTCAACATTTTGAAGATAAAAAAGGGAGCTCAATGTGGTTGTGGAGGGCAAATGTTAACAAAGTCTATTACAGAGTATATTTTGTGTCCAGACCATAACTTTTTAGCTCACCTGTTACAAAGTGACAGGGTGAGCTTTTGTGATCGCTTTTCGTCCGTCGTCCGTCCGTCGTCCATCCATAAACTTTTACTTTAAATGACATCTCCTCATAAACCAATAAGCCAATTTCATCCAAACTTCACAGGAATGTTCCATCTTCTTATGAGTGTCTACCAAGTTTGTTCAAATAAAAGCCCTGGGGTCAAAATTGGCCCGCCCCAGGGGGTCATTGATTTTCCCTATATGCATATAGTAAAAACTTAAAAAGTCTTCTTTTAAAGAACTTTTAGAGCTAGAGCTAAGATATTTAGCATGAAACATGTTCTAATGGGTGTCTACCAAGTTTGTTCAAATAAAAGCCCTGGGGTCAAAATTGGTCCCGCCCAGGGGGTCATTGATTTTCCTTATATGTGTATAGCAAAATTTAAAAAATCTTCTTTGAAAAAACCCAAATAGCTAGAGTTTAGATATTAAGCATGAAACATCTTCTAGTGAGTGTCTACAAAGTTTGTTCAAATAATAGCCCTGGGGTCAAAATTGGCCCCGCCCCAGGGGTGTCATTGTTTTTAACTATATGTGTATGTATAGTAAAAACTTTAAAAATCTTCTTTTAAAAACCCAATGAGCTAGAGCTTAGATGTTTGGGATGAAATATCTTCTTATTGGTGTCTACCAAGTTTGTTTAAATAAAAGCCCTTGGGTTAAAATTGGCCCTGTCGAGAGGGGGAGAAGCAGGAGGGAGATCATTGTTTTTCATAGTGTGTCGTAAAAACTTAACATCATGAAACATCTTCTAATGGGTGTCTTTCAAGTTTGTTCAAATAAAAGCCCTGGGGTTTAAACTGGCCCGGCTCCAGGGGCTAAATACAGGTGAGCAACCTCAGGGCCATCATAGCCCTCTTGTTCATAGATCAAAGGATTTTGTAAATACTTGCCACAAATAGTCACTATTGTAAGACAATGTCTTGCGCAACACCTGCATCCCTACCTCCAAGTTCAAGGTCACACTTAGAGGTCAAAAGTTAACATAGTCTGTTTTAGGGTATATTTTGTTTCTGATCTAGAACTTCTTCAGGATTTTGAAATAACTAGGCACAAATAGTCACAATGATAAGATGATATGTCATGCATAACACATGTGTCCCTACCTCCAAGGTCAAGGTCACACATAGAGGTCAAAGATTTACATAGTCTGTTATAGGGTATATTTTGTGTCCAGTCCATAACCTGGGATTTTAAAAATACTTTGCACAAATAATCACAATAATAAGATGATATGTCAGGCGCAAAACATGGGTCCCTACCTCCAAGGTCACACTTAAAGGTCAAAGATTGACATAGTCTGTTTTAGGGTATATTTTGTGTCTGATCTATAACTTCTACATAGTTAAAGGGATTTTAAATTACTTGGCACAAAGAGTAATATTAGAAGAAAATATGTCATGCACAACACCTTCACCCCTACCTCAAGGTCAAGGTCACACTTAGAGGTCAAAGGTTAACATGATAGAATTTTAAACTCCGTGTTTCATTTTACTAGTATTTCTTTAATAAATTTATTGTTGCATTTGCAGATCTAGCATTGATCATAATTTTGGACAGAAAGTCCTGAAATCCATACCTCAGTCTTTTGAAATAGCACAATTTTATGCTTCATATAAAACTTCCCCGAGGCGGGGGACGTTGGTAGCTCTGTTACAAATTCTTGTTGTATAATCATTAAACTCTTTTGTTTGAAGAAAAAGAAATAAAGACCATTACAAAATATAAGTTTATGATATTTGTTAAGGTTTTATTAAAGAAAGTGATTGTCTTTCATTCCATATTCCTTTTCTAAAACATTATTAAGTGACGGAAAGTTTGATATATGAGAAGACGAAACTGCTAAACACATAGATAGATCTATATTTATATTTGTTTCACTGAAAACAGCTTGGATGAAATGTCAGTGAGAATCCAGAGTGGTGAAATCCAGTTTAGAGAGTTTGAGAAACGACTTGGAAAGATGTATGGAGACGATTATGGGAAGATGGAGGCAGAGCTAAACAATATGAATGTCGAAGACATCAAACTTAGACTGGATCAGTTGAAGAAATACAGACAGTTGAGCACATGTGTGGAAGGAGCCAAAACTATCCTTGAATTTGCGCAGGAATACAATTTGAATGGAGACTTTGATCAGATGGAAGTGATTGCCACAGTAAGTGTAATGTATATTATTTTAGGTACGCGTAACATTTTGACATTAGAGCTGGAACATAGCAACCATTGATTTCCATAGCAACCACTGATTTTCCATATGAGCTATTGACTTCCATAGCAACCACTCATTTTCTACAGCAACCATTGAATTTCATAGCAAACAATGACTTCTTCAAAGTAATTAGTGACCAACTTATAGTAATTTCACCAATGACTTTTTACAGCAGCCACTTTAAACTTACTATAATTTACTATAGTCACCAATGCTTCTTGCCATTTAGAGCATTTATAATTTGGTGAGCAATATTAGGGCCATTATGGGCCTCTTGTAAGGTCAATATATGTTCAAGTAACTTATTATGTCTCTCAAAAATTTTCGTAAACAAATTGTTTTTGCCTTCGCCTTCTGCCTTTCCATCTGTTAGCATTAAGCTTGTCCAGCTTTCACAGGTTGCTCTGCTGATTGGATTTCAAAGAAACTTCACAGGAGTGATCAGTACCATTCCTAGTTGTGCAGCACATGTGCCTTGCCAGCACATAATAAAAGTTATGAATTTGAAACAGGTTTATAAATATCTTTGTATGTAGTTATACCCCCACAAACAAAGTTTAGGGAGGGGGTGGTATATAGGAGTCAGCTTGTCGGTTGGTCTGTCGGTCGGTCCACATCATGGTTTCCGGACGATAACTAGAGTTTGGAATGAGGTATTGTAATCAAACTTGGTATATAGCAACCTTATGTGGAAACTCCGGTTGGTATTGCATTTGGACGCCCTGGGGTCAAGGTCAATGTCACCATTACTAAAAATAAAAAAATGGTTTTCGGACAATAACTCGAGTTAGGAATGGGATACTGTAATCAAACTTGGTGTATAGCAAGCTTATATGAAGACCTTGGTTTGTATTGCATTTGGGCCCCCTGGGGTCAAGGTCACCATTACTTAAAATAGAAAAATGGTTTCCGGACAATAACAAGAGTTTGGAATGAGATATTGTAATCAAATTTGGTGTAAAGGAAGCTTATATGAAGACTTTATTTGGTAATGCATTTGAACCCCCTAGGGTCTAGGTCACCGTTACAGTGTTACTAAAAATAGAAAACTGGTTTCCGGACAATAACTAGAGTTAGGAATGAGATATTGTAAACAAACTTGGTGTATAGTAAGCTTATATGAAGACCCCCGGCTGGTATTGTTTTTGGACTCCCTGGGGTCAAGATCAAAGTCACTGTTACTAAAAAAAGAAAAATTATTTCCAGACAATAACTGGAGTTAGGAATGAGATATTGTAATCAAACTTTGTGTATAGCAAGTTATTTGGAGACCCCAGTTGCGATTACAATTAATTGAAATATTTCTTTGTACACAGTTGATAGTTTGTGTTCAAATTTTTCTTCAGACTTCTTTTTTTTTCTTTCAAAAAGTCAAAGTTGCTGGTGGGGGTATTAATCACCTTCAGTGATAGGTCTAGTTTGATAATAAACTGAAATGGAAGAAGTTGGAGTTCTGAATTTAAAATTATTTAATATTATTAAACCCTATCAAAATATATATAAATTTGTAAATGTATCTTATATCTTGCTTTAAAGTCTCAACAATCTATATTAATCTCAATAAATTGATACACATTTTTTAACCTACATGTTTGTTTTTAATATGATGGCATTAAACTTATCTGTGTTTATTTTTTTCAGCAAAGTGATAATGACTTAGAAATGAGGTCATTTGATGACAGTGTGATGAAAGTGTGCAGCTTTTTGTCTGATATGACACCAGCTCGAGGGGCATGCCTGAAAACATTTGTTACCTGTGAACCACTTGTTAAATGGCTGAAAACATCAATGGAAAAAGGTATATAACTGACAGATTAGTAGACTAGAAAAGTAATGTTTTGTATGTTTTGTTTTAGACACATTAAAATGACCAATTGGAAACAGAAATACTGACAGAACATTAAAGAGTAATCTATTATAAGTGACAGTCCATTTATTGGAATTTACAAACATGTCCTGTTTTCATATATGCTCTTTGTTTAGATAACATGATATTTCAACCACTGTCCATAGTATTTTATTAACTTTGCCTATGAAGGTTTTATTCTTCAGATCACAGAAAGTCATGTTGTAAGGCACCATTGATAAGGAACTTATGTGACCTTGTGTTGAAATAGGTACAAGGTTTGATTCTAAGACTAGTATTTTGATATCTGTATTAACATGTAGATTTAAAAGAAAATGCTCAATGTAAAACTGTATCCCTTAAATTGTTGTTTTGTTTATTTCATTACCACGAACATTTTAGAGGGATTAAAGGAATTGAAGGTGTTTGTTGACTTGGCCATTATGTCAGCTGGTGAAGAGGGATTGAACATTGCCAGAGTTCAGTGTCTGCACTCTGCAGTAACAGGATATGCCCCACTTATATTTGACCTTCAACCCACTTCGGGTTATGAACATCTACTAAAACTCTGTTCTTTTGTGTGGAAAGAGCTTGATGCAAATCCAAATTTGCCAGCACAACTGGTAAGATGTTAAAAATTGCACTAGATTTATTGTTTAAATTCATCTGATTCAGATGCCAGTATGCATTGTTTTAATGGATTAAGATAATGTTATAAAAATTCAGAACTGATAATGTATTATAATACCACTTTTACAAAGTTTTAGTGGGTATCAGTGAGCAAATTCAGTCCATTTTATGGTTTCCATACAATAAATAAAAGTTAGGAATAAATATTGTAATCAAATTTGGTAAAAAGCAAACTTATATAGAGATCTAACTTGGGAATGCTTTGTACCCCTAGGGTCAAGGTCACTGTTACTAAAAATAAAAGAATGGGTTTCTGATGATAACTAGAGGGAGGAATGAGATATTCTAAGTTCATTAAGTATATAGTAAGCTTATGTATAGCCCCGGTTTGAGTTTTCTTACATGTCAAGGTCACTCAAGGAGGTCAAAGGTCAGATAGAAATTGAATATATGTGTGTGTATAATTTATTTATTCTTTTTTGGCTTCCTAGGGTCATTAGTACTAGAAATGAAAAAAAAAATTTAAGACAATAACTAGAGTTAAGAATGAGATATTCTAATAAAACTTAGTTTATGGCAAGTATATGTGAACCTTGAATTGCTTTTTGATTATCCAAGGTGTAAGGTCAAGGTCACTAAAAATTGAAAAATGTTTCCCCACAAAAATTAGAGTTTAGAGTGAGAATCAGACTTAATATATAGTAAGCTATGTGGAGCCCCGGTTTGAGTTTTCTTACGGGTCAAGGTCACTCAAGGAGGTCAACGGTCAGATGAAAAACTAAATATATATGTGTGTATAATTTAGTATCCCCCCTACATGTAGTTTTAAATTGAGGGATTACATCAAAAATGTTTACAATCATGACACTGAGTCTACCAAACATAATTTAGGTTAAAACACAAGATGATAAAATGTCCAGATTTTGTCAAGAGTATTTTGTTTCTACATGCATGGATGGAATATAGTATTGTTTAGTATTTCATTATGATGTAGTGGTCAAAGTTCAAGGTCACACTTTGAGGTCGCAGGAATGCTTTTCCTGAGCAAAATTTCTAGTTGCAGTTGGAAATTTTATTAAAGCATGGCACAATTTTTACATGGTCAAGGTCACACATACAGGCCAAAGGTCAGATGAAAAAATTAAAATGTGTGTATAGACAGTCATGTAGTTCTATCATAAATGTTGAAATTATAAGACTTGGTGTTATCAGCATAATCCAAGACAATATAATAAAAGGCACCAGAAATGATTTAATGTCAGGATTTTGTCCACAGCATTTCTTTCAATTGCCTTAATCTTGGTATTACCTTACAAATATTTACCATTATGGTCAAGGTCACAAGAAATTTCTTGTCTGACGTGATATCTCTAAATGCATAAAGGAATTGTAATATAACTTGGCAGAAATGCTTCACATTGTTATTCATAGTGTTGTGTCTGAAATTTAAGTTGAAGGTCACATGATGCAGAGACCAAATTTTATATTGAAAATGAAAATATGAATATTGACCATGCATTTAGTCATTATTTAGTCATCATAAATTGATCGATTTTTATGTAAGTGTTCACTTTGATGAGACTGGGCATTTTTGGGACAGGTGTATTTTCTTACAATGGCATTCTTGTTACTTTTTCATATGATTTATTTTAAATAAATTCATAACATCAGCATATTCACTTTTGGGAAAAGTATTCCCCTATTGTGTTCAATTATAAGATTTTATTTCTTAGTTATTTATATACAAGCAGATCTTGGTGATAACTTGTAAAGCTGAATATAATCTATGCTATGCTACATGTACATGCATATTTATTTCATTGTAGAAAGATACAAACCATAATCTAGAATGGTTTAAAGAAATCAAGAAAGCTCATGGTTCTGTAGAGGTTACCTCCCTTATGCAGGTTGAAGCTATCAATGCAAAAGGAGTATTTACAGTTGGTAAAAATGTTTGGAATAATGAGTCTTCTCTTGGAACATTATTGGTATGTTGATATAGATATTTTGAACTTAAAGCTGCATGCCTCCAGATAAGCCAGAATATTTCAAAAAATCAAACTATAGAAAAAGTACTGAGATTTTAAGAAAAGTAAAGAGATTCAAGATAAAAATAATAATTTCCATGTTATGTGCGATTTATGTCTGATGTTGCAGTATTTTTCGCCCTATTTTTACTGATTACTAACGCATTGAGGGCTATTTATGTATATTTTTACCTCTTTTTGGTAATTTACATTACTTTTATGTGCTGCTTGCAATGTGAAAATTAGTTCTTTGTTCACTTCACAATATTTAACTTTTTAATACATTTTTCAAAATTTTCAAGAAAATTAGCATGAATCTGGAGGTGTGCTGCTTTAATACTATAACTGTGCAACAATATACAGATACAGTGGCGGATTCAGGCCCGGGCTTCAGGGCTGCAGCCCCCCCCCTCCCCAGCTCGGCCAAAGATACCTTTACTAGCTGGGCTGGAATATATTTTTTCTAGTTTCAAACTTTATTGGCTGCAGTGTACTCCCTTATCAAAACTGTTATTGCTGTCATCCAGTTGTTAATCTCCTGCCTGAGGGCTTGGCAGAGATCTTTATCTATCAACATGCTTGAATGACTTCAATGTTTAAACAACATAATTAATGGGTTTATTACCTTCCAAAGGTCTAATGAAATTAATTGTCACAGATATTGGCAAATAGGTGTGTTACATAGTATACCATATTTTACTATCTTTGTTTTTCCATTTTTTGCGAAAGCTTTAAAATTAAGAAATTGAAAATTATTATTTGTAAATTAAAAGGTGGCAATTTTTATAAAGATAATATTAAAGGAATCACATCTTCATAACTGGTTTTACTAAAATTTTTATTAAGATGAAATGATTGGTCATTTGCTTTTAATATTTTTTATGGCAGTTATATTTTTTAAATAAAATTTAAATTGTACTGACCTCTTTAATATCTAAAATGGATTTATTGATGGAAAAAAATTCTTATTGAATATTTGTGTTTGAAATTATTATTTTTTGTACAATAGAAAAGCAGTATTTTAATAACGCTTTACTTTGGAAAACGCTATTATATATAAAACTATTATTCAGACGAGTAAATTGAGCGAGTGTTTGAAATTATTTTTATTAACGGTCGTGCATACATTGGTAAGTATGCGGTTATTTTGTAAATGTTTACTACTAAACACCAGGGAATGCTATTTGAAAGACGCTTCAAACAATAAGCTATACAAAATACAATGTGATGTTAAACCATCCAAAAGGTACCATACACAGCACTAGAAAGTCAAGGAAATAACACCATTTTTAGCCTCATATTTCAAAATTTTCTCAGTCTACGGGAGGGGACACCCCTCCCATTCCCACCCCAATCACATAAAAATACATCAATTACAGTTGTATGAACAACATGCTGCCCCCACCCAATCTTCAAACGCCCAATTCTCGCTTGTTGCATTGTTTTTCTTTTGTTTTTCTTTTCAAACTCTTTCACCCATATGTCAGCCCCCCAGGAAACCCTTTTCGGTATCCGACCCTGAGATATAACAGTATTTTGCTATGAACCTATATATATAGTGCCTGGGGGAAAAGTGTTGAAGATATTATGGGTTGTTGTCAGAAGTTTTATGTTTAGTATTGTATGAAAAAATGTTCGTTAACACTCTTGCGGTCACATTTTTGCCTCAATCGTCAAACTTTGTCAGGATGCTTATTTAGGTAATAGCTTGGATAAGTTTGAACATGGGTAAATATCTCGGATGAAAAACTAAATCACAGGAGCTAAAAATAGAAAAACTTTGTCTACACTCTAGTGGTCACATTTTTGCCTCAATCATCATCAAACTTGGTCATGTTGTTTATCTAGGTAGGAGCTCGGATGTGTTTGAACATGGGTCATCTCGGATGAAAAACTAGGTCACAGGAGCTTAAAATAGAAAAACCTTGTTAACACCCTAATGATCACATTTTTAGCTCGACTTTTTGGCCTTATATATTTAAGTTATTTTTATCTTCATTGTGACGTCATCACTTTTATTACCATAGCGGCGAACTATTTATAGCTTCTTTTACCGCAGTTGGCTGACTCAGTCACTATTAATTTTCTTATTACAAATATCTTATGGCAAACACATTTATTATTTTATAAGACCATTCTGCCCAAAAATGAATATATATGAAAGAAAGAAAAAAATGAGTATATTTATATATACAAAATATATAGACAAAACTAATGTGACCTAAGACAGACCGATTAAATTTATAAAAAGGAAACGTTAAAATTTGTTCAAACATTTCTTTGTTTGCTTTTAGAAAAAGTAAAAAGTCAAGCGTTGCCCTCGCCCGGCGGTGGCTCTTGTTGACTTGATTATCATCAAACTTGGTCTGGATGCTTGTCTAGGTAAATGCTCTGATGAGTTTAAACATGGATCATATCGGATGAAAAACTAGGTCACAGGAGCTAAGAATAGAAAAATCTTGTTAACACTCTAGTGGCTACTGTTTTGATCCAAATATCCTGGAAATTGGTCTGAAAGTTTGTTTTGATGATTTCTAGGTCAAGTTCAAATATGGGTCACCTGAAGTCAAAAACTAGGTCACACCGCCCAAATATGGAAAAACCTTGTTAACCTCTTAGTGGTCACATTTTCGACTCAATTATCATCCAACTTTGTCAGGATGCTTGTCTAGGTAATTGCTTGGATGAGTTTGAACATGGATCATCTCGAATGAAAAACTAGGTCACAAGAGCTTAAAATAGAAAAATCTTGTTTTAACACTAGTGGCTAACTGTTATGA